CGATGTACCTCGTACTCGATAGTTTCTGTCATCCTCCTCGTCAAACGCACTAACAAAAGCCAGATTCCGCTTATTTGTTTTTGACAATGGTTTCGCTATGTGAAAACATGGTCTACATTCCGTTAGAAATTTCTCATAAAATTCTCGACGAGACGCAACGTGCGGACAACAGGCAGTCCTTTATCTTTTATTCGATTATGGGATTCGATCAATTTTACCGCAATACATCACTTTGGTCGAGTAATAAAAAAATGTAATTAATAATTATGACGTTAACGAAGCGAGCTCCGATAATCGTAACACGCCGGCGCGCGCGTGCTTGATGCATCCATCGATTTATAAAAAAAAATTTCCATTTTTTGCAAAAGCACAATGAACACGGATGAACGAGCGAGCGATAAAAGAAGCAAGTACATTTGTTGTGTCGGATTAAATGATGCGCGTAACGCCAAAACGAGAAGTGCCCAAAACAACGCCGCTACTACTACTACTCGGCATTTTAATAGGCTTAAGGAGAGACTCCAGAAATCTCCCCTCAGCTTCAGCGAGAACCCGCCCGGCGAAATTCGTGCCAATCCCTTTTAATCGTGTTTACGAGCATGCTCTCTCTTTCTCTTTCTCTCATGACTCTTTCGCCCAACGCTCGTCCCTCGTGCCTTCACGCGCGAAGCAGAAGTGCAATTTCCAGTTACGAGCGAATGCGACTGACGAGAACTCCTCGAGGACTACGCTAACCTTGTTGCCGCTACCCGACGGCGTAAAATATAATCGCGCCGAGCGAATTAGAGCGAATATATTTTTCTTTTTTCTTTAGGGTACGCTTCGTGACCGCCGTCACTTCTGCGAAAGTTGATGGCCCGGCAGAATGGCGATGCGCAAGGTAACTCGTTTAGAAAGTTCATCTGCGACCACACACCGACGTATCCAATAATACAATACAGACGACGGCGACAACAATAAATATAGAAAGAAGTTGTTGCAGAGACATTGTTTTAAATAACATCGGATGTCGTAAATGGGGCCAATGCCTGGCGATATAAGATGGGAGGAAACCGAGATACACTGAAATAGAACTGGAACTTTCTTTGAAGAGAAAAAAAACACGAAAGTTTGGAGAATGCGCATATGAGACGGGTCATATATTATTTATGTTTACAAGAATGTATATCTCATATGTTTACTCTTTCCTCTATCTTTGACCGATAGATAACGCTATTCCACTCGCCTCACTGATTAATTCGCCGCGCAGATTGACAACGGTGTTCGCAATCACGCGTGCGCGCTATCTTTAGAACTTTGAACAACGCGAAAAAACGTTTGATCCAAAAATCTCCGATCGATCCGGCGCGGGCGTGGCGCGACGGCCCGGCTGCTGTCTGTCGCTGTTTTCACGCGTTTCCTCGAAGCCGTAATAATAATGACGAAACGCACCGTAAAGTGCCACGTCGACCCATATTTATAAATAGAGAGGTCTCATCTCCGACGAGGCGAAGGTGCGCGCCGTGTGTCATCCCAGGAATATCACGGCCGACCGAGTGACCGGCTATGCCAGCGTGAATGAGAATCCGCTGGTGCATGCGTGCCGTGTGTGCGTGCGCGGCATACAATGCGAAACTTGCTGAATATAATATATATTATATATATGAAAAGAGTACCTCTTTTCTCTGGCTATAATCACACAGTTAATCTATAATTATTAGTATTAAACTAAAATTAAATTAACAACATACAGAAATCACGCGTTTCTATACACTGTTAAATATTAAAGGATGAAATTTAAACCAATACCTTGAGTTAGATAACATTTTGTTATTTTTAACATGTAGGTATGTATGTCGAAATTTATTATTTTAACTCAATGGAGTTAAAATAATAATGGGTTTTGGGTTTAGTTAAATTAACATTGTTTCAGTGAAATTAACGACGTATTGAGTAAGATATATAGGAATGGTTAAAAATGACTCAAATTGAATATAATTTGGCATTACGAATTTAACAGTGTATTAAATTGGATAAATTCCGTATGTGCAAATAGCCGCGGTTTGTCGTATAAATCTGTACGCGTGCGCGAAATCCATAGCGAAAACCCCGTGAAAAATCGGACTTTAGATATATAGCGCAAAAACAATTCCGTAACGGAATGCGTAACGCTTCTGTTGTCTTTGGCTATGCCGCGTCGATTACACAACGAACGCGGCGAAAGAGATATAGCTCACAATCATGGACCATGCGGTGATGAGAAAAACTGATGTCGCGAACAAATATTAATTATTGTCTTAAATATCACGGAGAATATCGAGCAGTCTCTTAATATCCTATAACTGAATGACAAGATAAAGAATAATGATAAATTCCTAATCATTTTTTGTTGCGTCATGGAACCCGTGTAGATCGCGAGCGTGTGTCCGTTCAAGAGAAGAGAAAATCGAAAGATTTTCTTCATAGTAAAGACGAACGCGTGCCAGCTCTCACGGCACTTTGTGCGCGGCGGACGCTGGCGCGAGAAACACCGCTATGGTGATTTATCGTCGCGCCGGTTTGGCGATACAGCTGAAATTTAAATCAACGTGATGTGTGTCGTAACGGCCGCGAGACCCGCGATCCACGAGAGATTGGGGAAGAACGACCTCGCCGTATTATTAGAGGCATTATTATATATCTGCATTACGTGACGATGTATACGCGTGTCTCTTCGACGCCGCGCTCCGTTCCAATCGCGTGCGTTGCAAATTGCAAACCTTCGAAGTCATTGCCGGGGTGGACGAGACACTAGGTCCCGCATGCGTGTTTTACGGATTTGTAGCGTAGAAAGAATCCCCTGGGCGAAACAATCGTTAAGATAATAAAATAAATAAAGATAGATAGATATATATAAAGAAAGAAAAAAAAAATAGATATATTTCTTTGAGGGGGAAGGGGATAATATATTTCTAGCATTTGTGTTTTATATTTTTTACTGTTTGATGGATCACTCAATGGACGAATAGTCTGACAAGTAAGAGGTAAATATTTTGAGATTTCTAATGGATCGTGGCTGTTTTATTTGGAGCAATTTTCCACGGTCCTTTTCATACAAATAGCGAAAGTAGTATATTGCTGTAGCAAGACGTAAGATATTAAACGTTGAGTACGGCGAACGTTATAATACTGTTTATATACGATCTTTTTCTAAGCCTGGGATTTTTATAGTTTTCTACGATATTAAATTTTTTGCAATAATAAAAAGGAGTCAAGAGAAAATTACAACCATATATAAGTTAAACTTGTGAAATATTCACATCTATTAATGTGAGAAACATCAATTACAAACTTTACTCTTAATTCGTCAATCTACGTTCAGATAGAGAAAGATTATGTGCAGAAAGAAATAAAATTATAATTATTAATGTGTTAAAAATTACTCGAGTACGTTTGATTTATTTCTATCTTTCATTCGCCTCATGGAAGTAGGTACCAATCTTTATAGAAAAAAAGTTTATTCTAGATAATACGTAATTAATTTCAGTGAATTCAAATTTTCAGTTTAATCCACGAGTATCGATTGAAATAAATTTCGCACTGAAATACAAGTTGATTCTACCCCGGCCGATTGCCATCGTGATTATATATTGGCAACGTTGTTTTTCCTTCGCTCACGTTTTTTCGCATTGTGCGTGTGTCAAATGGGTCATCGATTGTTTGCCGCTCTGTTAACTTATGCGCCACAGGCTTAACGTGGATGTGAAAAATACCATCTGGAAGTCAGCCAGTGAGACTATTTCCAGAGAGCAAGTGGCATAAATAGCGTTGTTGTGGCGAACGGATGCTCGTAGTGGCCCTCGTGCAAAGTAAGAAATTATAATCAGCGAGGTACCAACGCGATAGTACTGGCATGAAATAATGCCGCGACATGTGCCTTTAAATGAGGAATAATGCATGAGTGCAGTTGATGTAAAACCGCCACAATTGTGTAATTTATATAACAACGTTGACTAGTTTAATAATATATTTATCAAGCTAAATTAAAATTTTAAATTTAACTTCTTAATGAAAATTAAAAAAAATGTTATAGTATTTATATGATCCATTAAATAAACCTGCAGAGCTTGATTATAAATAAATATATAATTAATAAATTTCTAATTCTGACAAATTTAATTAATGAAGTAATTTAGTAAATTAAAAATCCACTTCACATCTCGCGCTTTATGAGAGACAATGCGTTAACTACACCTACAGTTTGTTAATACTCATCACGACAATCTCCACAAGGTATACGCAAATAACGTCGCGGATATGCGGTGGCCTATGCAGTTTAAATATTGTACTTTTACCGCTGATAAAAGCAGCATATATATGATCGAGCTCATAAATTCCGCTTATCAACCGAATGTCAAGTTGGTCAACTGGAATTGCGGTAGACCGAGATCAATGGTAATGTCCCGCTGGTTAAACGTTTTATCAGAAATCGATAAGTTGATATCAAAGGCGCGCCGTACTGCGCTTTACTTCGTAATTACGCTTCATTTTCATAATTGCAAATCGGTCTTATCAGACCGATATACATGCCGATATACTTTTTTCCTTCCCGCGATACGAAGAAAAAAAAATCGTCATCATTAGCGATCGGCTCGTTCCGACAGCCTAAAAAAGTGCCGTTTATCACATTAATCATGGATTTTAATCGATGATACCGGTTGCCATTTCCGAGAAGAGATCGCAATGATAAACGCTAATGTGTATCATTGTGATCTCTCCGCCGGGATTTACATAACGTGGAATAAATCCGCGTCGACGCGATAATGACGTGCGCTAATGAGCGCACCATGAGCGCGCCAAAGGTTAATTGCAAGGCTTTTCCGTAAGATAGTCCGTGTTATTTCGTTATCTTGTAGGAAGCGCGCCTCGCGCATTCCGTCATCTGACAATGAGAACGACGAGATCGAACGCGAGAGAGTTCCGCGGCTCTTTGTACACGCGACGCGACGCGGCTATTCCATTATCTGCGGCGGGAAAGTTACCTTATTGTTCGCCTATGGAGATCTGCTTCTGTTCTATTCTTGAGTTTCGAGCACGTCCTTCAGCTGCAAGCACACACAAAGAAACGCTGGTTATATATTTGCGGCGTTAACACGTTAAACTCGTATATCGATTATCAATCGCACGCATGAGCTCACGAATCAATTTTTACCGTGGCGGAAATAAATCGCGACTAGCGTAACTATATACACTTTATGCACCGCCAGAGATTTTTTACAAAGCGCCATAAATCCCCGAGATTTAATCCCCGTGTTTCTTTTTTTTTTCCCGCCATCATCGACGAAGTCGCGAGGTATTCTCGTTCGCTCGTAGCAGCCGACCAATTTCGAACGTGTGCGCCAGATTCTCGCGAGTGCAGAGAAGTCTTGGCAAGACATAACAAATAACATTTGTTGCACGCTGTTCAAAATTGCAACAGACACAGCGGAGTCACAAACTATTTCATTTTCGAAAACAGTAAACTGTTTAAATTGGATCGAGCGAGCTAATATTGAAAAATGCGTAAAGTTCCCTTAAAAAAAGCTATTCAACAAAAATGGGATAAAGTTGCTTAATCATTGAAGAAAAAGCAGACGCGGATCGCGCGGAAGGCTTATAATTACTGCGACCGTGAACCCCAAGCAGTCGTCAAGTGTTATTAGTAAAGTTCACAAGTTGAAGTTCGTGCGACCATGCGTGCGTAGTCGCGTGTTTGCGGTTACCGAAGCTGTTTACGTGATGCATTTGTATGAATATAATGACTACGAAACATTCTCGTAGTCGAGAAAAATGGACAATATACATGCCGATCTTCTGAATTCTTTTTTCGCTGATTTCTCTTTAATTTCTTTCTATAAGATTGTTATATGATATTTTAACTAATGTGCAATATCAAAAAAACAAAATTTATTGAAAAATTTGAAGGATTCTAAATAATAAAACCCAATATTAATACATAAAAGTGATACTTGAAATACCCTTCAGAAGAAGGGCTCTTTCAAATAGTTTCTACAGAATTTTGCTTTCACAATAATTTATTTTTTGCAACATAGACATTCTTATTTTTTCCAAAAATTTGCGAAACACATACATACACACTCTTTTTTCTTCAAAAACTTGTGAAGGAACATTTGATAAAATATAGGAAAAACTTATTGAGAGACATAAGTTTCTAATTCATTTATGAAATTATGAAAAATAAAATATAGAAAAAAGTTATTGACATAAATTTCTAATCCAATATGTTCAGTGACATCTGACATACATACATGGTGCGTACATTCGTTTCTCATTTTCGATTTTACGACTTCCTTCGCGAAAGCATCAATAGTGATTCAGCAAGGCGCGTGTCAATATAAACAATAGACTTCCCGTTATCGCTTGTTTGTGCGTATTATTGGGCATTTACGAAGAGCAGGTGATGTGGCGGCGGTGCCGCCGACGCTGTTAAAAAACAACGGCTCTTAATGCGCTCTCGTGACGTTTGCACGGAGGAATGCCATAATCTTCGCCCAACGAGTCGTCGAGGAAATTTCGCGAAATACATCCGTGAGTCACGTTCCCCAAACACTGCTGACTTGATCCAATTTCGAAATAATCTCCGAAAGAAGGAAAAAAGAGAACTCGCGGCCGCGCGACGAAATACAATTCGTGGGAGGAAAAAGCGGATGCCTGCCGCGAGATTCCGAAATAGCATTCTGCGTCTAACAATAAATATTCTTAAACGGTGGAACATATGAATGCGTCGTGTCATCGGTTATCGATGCGCGCAAAATACTTTCCGCTGGAATGCTTCTCAAAATCGAATTATCGAATTACCGAGGAGAAGCGACGCTAAAATTTCGGCTAATATTTTTAAACAATCGATATTCTACAAGAGAATTTAACACCATTGTAACCAACCACCGGGGAGAAGCTTGACCGACATGATACATATCTGACAATTTCGAAATCGATCCGCCCGAAATAAACAGGAAGTCGAACTACCGCTGTTGATGTAATATCGCCGGTCACACTTTCGTCGCGCGAAATTCCGGGATTTCATGCAAAGTGGCAACGATCGCTTTCACAACGTGTTACAACCGTCGCGATGCATTTCTTGCTAGACCAGAAGTTTCAAGCGCGAGTGACACGGCGCGCGGCGCGCGGGAAAGTGTTCGGCGGTCCGTCCGTCAATGAAGTAGAATGTCCTTTTTTTTTGCTGTCGCTGCGGTATGATACAATCGTCTGTCGACAGTCATCGTCCGATTGGACAATGGGCTTCGTTCTGGACCTGGGAAATAATTTCATTTGTACCACGAAATCGCATTTTCACCGGCGAAAAAAGAATTATCATTTCCGCCCGCGGTTCTTGCCTATTTTTCGTTATTGCCTATTTTTCACGACTTGCTCGTTTTCGCGGATGACGCAAGGGCAATCGATAATCAGTTTTCGACAGGCTCCTTTGTAGGCTAATCACTAGACTGGACACTATAAGTAACATAACAATCTAAAATATAGAGAAAAACGTGATACATGAAACACAGTGATTGTAAATAATATAATAATCACAATAATAATAATCTACGCTTCTAAAGCATACTATTGTAATCCAATAATATTGTCTGAGGTAATTATAAGAAAGTATCTCTTTGCGTAACGGGTATAAAATACAGGAAAGTCACGATTCTATTCTCGTGCAGCAACAAATCATGACGCGACATGACGGACATTCGCAATAATGGCTCGGAGTGGTCGCGTGCAGGCTTTTGCAGGCGAAAATGCAAGAGCCATCTCGCGTAATCAACTTTCTCGCACTCGAGCCCTCCAGGGTCAACGGTATGTCGGACAGACGTAAGAGGCCAACCCAGGCATCAAGGCTGATCTTCACGACTCGGCAATAAGGGAAAGTACAAGAGGCTTTTGACGGAACGACCCTTTAAGGAACACGAGGGTAGTCCCCGACGACGACGACGGTGCGGCGGGGAGGAAAACCAGGGGGAGACATATTGATCGTACGGAAAACATTCGTCCCAGAAACGGGATCTTCTCCTGCATCTCTCTCGCCGGTGGCAAAGGAAAAAAAAGAGAAAACCACGGAGAGGATCTGGAGCTGTGGATCGTATATATCTCGCGAGAGAATTTATTCGAACACGGAGTATCGACGTACCCAAATCAAGACGCTCCGACTACATCGTCGTGATTTAAATCAGCGGCGCTAGCTCGTCGAAATCTGTCGTGAGCGAGGGCAATCTAACAGCGAAAGGTATTTGCTCGAGAAAATTACGACACACAAATTGTACATAATGGTTATTGTAGGGTGGCGGAAAAAAAATGGGGAAATGAAGCTTCCATATCAACGTTACGAATATCTCCCTGGAAATGACTTCGGGTCGAGTGTAGCTTGGAAGAAAAAATATACATGTAATTCTCCCTTTCCTTATTAAAGTTCCCTAGCCCGTTACGTGCGTTGTTGCTCCGCGACGTGCACGGTAGTTAATTGGTGGGAAAAATTCGTGTAATTCTTTCTTAGATACGTACCATGAGAGACACACGTGTTGTCATTAAATACTTCCGAGTGCCCCAGATATTGCACGCGTGCGAAGGATCGAGATGGGGGAATTATGAGGAATCGTTAAGGGTGCTCATGTCGTATTTATAGACGTATACGAACACTACGAACGGAGGTCGTACGAGGGTTGAATTCTCAAGGACACGGCGGTGACGTCGAGAGGGAGGGTGGTGGTCTATTTTAATGGGCGGACATAGGTGATCGATCGCGCGCGGGCATTGTACCAACCTCCACGTAAAAGCGCCGGGGGCTGGCGGAATATTTCGTAGCTGTTCCTGCTGCGCTATCGCGATCTTCCATTTGCCTGGTGTATACCTCTCTTATTCGCAATTTCGGCTCGTGGCACGCGAGGTTATTGAACCGCGTACGGTCACGGTGCCGAAGAGTAAGTTTCACTGCCGTCGAGTTTAAGTTCTCCGTCCGAGCCGAACACGCCCGCATCAACCGAAATTGATCGGAATAGCGAAATTAAGCCCTGGAACGGTGGCTGCCGGCAACTCGATTCCACGTGCACGTCCCACGGAAATTCCCCATTATTTCATACGCGAACTATTGATGGGGTTCAGTATTCCGATATTTAACATTATGTAGGCAACGATACGGTTATTTATAGACATAAATGTATGATAAATATTAATGGCACGGAGCGTTCTAGGCCATTCTTTATCGACAAGTTTTTTGACCAACCACTTAAGATGTGATCAGTTTGGTTTATTAATCTTTGACATTCTGCATATTTAATATACAGTGTACAGTGCTCTTACATCATCTTAATCAGATATTCGATCTATGTACATAAAATGTTAACAAAATGGTTCAGAACATGGAAATAATACTAATGTACAGTAAGAAATGTTCAGTCAATGTAGACTAATTAGCAAAATTAATCTTGTTAAAAATTTGAATAAAACTACCTATTTTTTTCTTCGTGAATCGATCCCTCTCATTATTCTGCATACAAAAATATTAAAAGATCATTGAAAAGTGAATACTTAATGAGATATTTCACGTTTTGCTTCAGAAT